ACTAGATAGAAATAAAGATTCAGAGGTGCTCAGTCACTAGAGAGGAGAGATTTCTGTATGTGAGACAGAGGGTTCCTTAAAGTTGCTCACAAATGCTAATAGAAGAGCTGAGACCTCATTCTTTACCTGCTCAGTTTGGCATTTGTTTTCTTGCTTTCTTTGTCAGGGCTTTTTTTGTCATTTTCATGTAGGATCTTTCTAGCCTATCTTCACAACTTCAAAAATTTTACACTGAAATATTTGCTTCCTCCAAACATTTCCTCCTTTATGCCATGTTTGACTTTTGGTAAATTCTATTCACACTGCTGAAATATTTGGTTTTATATCCATTTTTTTCCTCCAGAAACACTGCAGAATTGGGGAGAGGAAGTAATTTTTTACTTTACTTTAGATTACTTTAGTTTTAGTTTAACTAAACTAAAGTTTACTTTAGTTTTAGTTTTACTTTAGTTTTAGTTTAACTAAAAACTAATTTTTTAGTTTTTTTTTAAATTTTGGGGTCATACCCTGTGGTGCTGTACAATCACTCCTGGAGGTACTGGGAATCAACCCAGATCAGCCATATGCAAGGCAAGTGTCTTACCTGCTGTACTGTCTCTCCAGTCCCTGAGGAAACATATTTTATTAGATTTTATAATGTGGAATATTGTAGTTTGGTCTGTTCACAAAGCTGTATACATAGAAAAATTGCACAAATGTTTACAAAAACAAAAGGAAATATATTATTGAAAGTGACTACGTGTGATTTCTGTAGCCTGGTTATTATTTAAGAATCCTTTGTTTGCTGAGCACTAATGCACAAATAATAATAAGATCCCATTTATGACTAATACTGGTATTGAGAATTAATCAGTTTAATTAATTGTAGGTGATTCTACATGAGGCTGATCATGAAGGGTTTTAAATAGGAGTTTAAATCCAACCCCATCAAAAAATGGGGTGACGAAATGAACTTTCTCAAAGAAATCCAAATGGCAAAAAGGTGCATGAGAAAATGCTCTACATCACTAATCATCAGGGAGATGCAGATCAAAACAATAATGGGATATCATCTCACACCATAAAGACTGGTCCACATCCAAAAGAACAAAAGCAACCGTTGTTGGGGGGGGGATGTGCAAGAAAGGGACCCTCCTTCACTGCTGGTGGGAATGCCGACTGGTTTAGCCCTTTTGGAAAACAATATGGAAAAGTCTCAAAAAATTAGAAATTGAGCTCCCGTTTAACCCAGCAATACTCCTGAGAATATATCCCAGAGAGGCAATAAAGTATAGTCTGCACTTGTGACTATAGTGACATCTGCACTTGTTTGTTCATTGCCACACTGTTTACAAGAGCTAGAATCTGGGAAAAACCTGAGTGCCAGAGAACAGATGACTGGTTAAAGAAACTTTGGTACGGGGGCTGCAGCAATAGCACAGCGGGTAGGGCGTTTGCCTTGCACATGGCGGACCTGAGTTCGATCTCCAGCATCCCATATGGTCCGCTGAGCACCGCCAGGAGTAATTCCTGAGTACAGAGCCAGGAATAAGCCCCTGTGCATTGCCGGGTGTGACCCAAAAAGAAAAAAAAAAAAGAAACTTTGGCACATCTACACAGTGGAGTACTATGCAGCTGTTAGAAAAGCTGAAGTCATGAAATTTACTTACAAGTGGTACTACATGGAAAGTATCATGCTAAGCGAAATGAGTCAGAAAAAGAGGGACAGACATAGAAAGATTGCACTCATCTGGGGAACATAAAGTAACAAAATAGGCGACTAACACCCAAGAATAGCAGAGATAAGTACCAGGAAGTTTACTCAATGGCTTGGAGGCCAGCCACACATGCTAGGGCAAAAGGCAGCTCAGATAGAGAAGGGAGCACCACTCAATACCTCTATTGCAAACCACAACACCCTAAAGAAAAGAGAGCCAAAGGGAATGTCCTCCCATAGACTTGGCGGGGGGGGGGAGGGTTTGGGGGGGTGGGAGGGCAACTGGGTTCATTGGTGGTGGAGAATGGGCACTGGTGGAGGGATGGGTACTTGATCATTGTATAACTGAAATCTGAACACAAAAGTTTGTAAGTCTACAACTGTTCCTCATGGTGTCTCACTAATAAATAAATAAATAAATAAATAAATAAATAGGAATTTAAGCACCTAAAGACATTTCTTGTAAGTAAATAAGTAGAGGAAAATGAATTGAATTTCTGCCTTGCTACATCATGCAATATGCTGCCAAAGGGGTTGATTTGGTGAGTATCTTGCTGAGCAAAGTTAGTCAAAAGGAGAAGGATGGACAAAGAGCAATGTTCTCTCCTATTTGGGATAAAAAGTAACATTGTAAGGAAATAACAAATGCCAATGGAAACAGAAACTGAAAACTTATCTTTAGTAGAAAAAGCTTTACTGTTAGGGGGCTGTGGATTAGTGGTTGGGGAAATAGATGGGGTGAACAGTGGAACACAGTGGAAGGTGACTCTAGTGGAGGTTGTGTTGCTCGAATGTTCTACACATGAAATCTTGCCATTATCAGTATTTAGAATCATGGAGCCTAAATAATGTTTTTTCAACTAAAAATTAAACAAATGAATTTGTATGAAATATCAAAGTCCTGGTGAGCACTAAAACTTTAAAGGCATTTTGGTGTTACAGCAAAAGCACAAAAGCCATAATGTTGGTTAAGATACAGTCTTAGATCTTTAAAATATTGCTTCGCTAGTCATATTTTTTGTTATGTATTTACTTTTTAAAAATCTATTTAATTTTTTTCCAATAAGATGTTTAAATTTGGGGCTGGAGTGATAGTACAGAGGGTATTCTACATTTGCTTTGCACACAGCCGAACTTGGTTTGATCCCCAGCATCCCTTATGGTCCCCCAAGCATGGCTAGGAATAATTCCTGAATGCAGAGCCAGAAGTAATCCCTGAGCATCACTGGGTGTGACCCCCCCAAAAAAAAAGAAGAAGAAGAATTTTTAATTGATTATTCTTTATAGTTTTTCATAATCTAGTAACCAGTTTAGAAATCTTGAACTTAATTCGAAAGATCCAAAATTCAGTCACCACATGGTCAGGACAGAAGGACAGAACCAACATCAATGAATAGTTTTAGCTAAGATTTGGATATTTTGAATTTAGAACAATTTTAAGAACCCCCTGATAATTTTGCAATGTTTGCCTTGTTAACAACAGAATAGAAAGAGCCTAGAGACAAAAATCACTGTCACTGTCACTGTCATCCCGTTGTTCATTGATTTACTCAAACGGGCTCCGGTAACATCTCATTTGTCCCAGCCTTGAGATTTTAGCAGCCTCTCCTTACTTGTCTTTCCCAACGCTGTTGTATTGAAGGCTCTTTCAGGGTCAGGGAAATGAGACTCGTTATTGTTATTGTTTTTGGTATATTGAATACACCACGGGTAGCTTGCCAGGCTCTGCCGTGCAGGAGATCCCCTAATACATAAAGAAGCAAGAAACAAAAAACTGAAACCTCTCCGTGGATTCATGGACAAATCTAAAAATTGCAGCACATAACACATATCCAGACCAAAACATGCACGTAAATACAGCTCATAGTTAGCTGACCCCTCAGAAAGTCATTAGGGTCATAGGGTTGGTAGAAGAACTCACATATTTCTCTGGTTTCTGGCAATAATTTATCCTATCTTATTTTAGCTTCCAGAAAATATTCTAGTCTGTGCTATTTGTTAACTGTAGCATGGTAGCACTGTCCTCCCATTGTTCATCGTTTTGCTCGAGCAGGCACCAGTAACATCTCCATTGTGAGACTTGTTCTTACTGTTTTTGGCATATAGAATATGCCACGGGGAGCTTATCAGGCTCTGCCATGGGGGCAGGATACTCGCAGTAGCTTGCCAGCCTCTCCAAGAGGGGCAGAGGAATCAAACCCGGGTCGGCCATGTGCAAGGCAAATGCCCTGCCCGCTGTGCTATAGTTTCAGCCCTATTTGTTAACGAGTCAAATGAAATATAAACAGTTTGATTACTATTTCAGACTCTAACCTAGCTTCCAGAGTTCTCACAAAGTGATGAAATGAGGAGGAGGGATTCCAAGTGATGCTCAGTTGGTCTGGGACCTACAAAGACAATTTTTGACCATCTGGGTCATCAGTTCAGTGCAAGAACCCAAGAATGCAATACTATTTAAGCCCTACAGTGCAGAGAATACCCAGGCCACCCCATTGCTTCTGGGGGCCTCCAGAACCATACCTGAAGGTTTTTCAAGGTCTCCAGGGAAGCTTCTGGAAATATTTGGGGGAATAGGTGGTGCTGAAAATCTAAAATGAATCAATAGCCTGCCAGGCACACACCCGAACCACTGTGCTATCTCCTGGCTTTTGAAGTGTCTTTTAGAGCAAAATTCCCTTTTTTTTAGAGTACCCTTTCATCTTGTAAACAATCACAGAAGTAACCACACATAGACAGATGAATCAATTCACACATCCTCTTCCTACTCTTAGAGGTTTGAAAATTTTCTCATCTACAGAGACATGAAGCCCAGACATAGAGGAATGGAATTTTGAGGGCATGTACCCAAGGCAGTGTTTTTCCCATTTATACAAAAAGAAGTAGTCCCACACATGGAAGATTGACTTACCCACTGCTATTTTTTTTTAAGTAAAACAGATTTTATTTGGAGGGTTTTTTGAATGCATGGAGTGGGAGAGAATGAGAGAGGGAGAGAGAGAGGGAGAGAGAGTAACATGCTCAAGAGAGAATGTGGGCATCTCCAAGAGAGAGACCCTACACACATCCCAGCATTAGATAGGAAAGCATGAAAGTACACATCTCAAGAGGGGAGATGTGGGCAACACATGTGCTCAGGCACCTCATGTACTCAGCCACACAGGTGCAAGCAGCACACAGGCTTGGACAGCATATGCGCCCCCACCACTATTTCTTAAAACCCACTTAGAGTGGCATGAGAGGCAGTGTTCGACTGGGAAAGAGAAGAAGACAAGACAATTCTAAGGGCAAAAAGAGCTCTGTTGACCGAAGGGCTTACCCCAAAGTTTTCTGATCCAAGACGGCTTGCCACAGTAGACTCCACTCCTTACGCACTTATGAAATTTGTAATTTCGAAGGACTCAGTTCCACTGTGACTCAGGACCAATCAAATGAGAGACAGAGATGGGTTGAGAAAGAGCTTTATTGTCAACAAGTCACCAGGTTAGAATGACTTGTGAATTCATGTCTACAGAAGGAAACCATCATCTTGTCTTTATAGTCAGTCACAAGAATCCATTTTTATAGAGAAAGCGAGTGGAGAGACACATTTTTAGGAAGGGTGAATTCTAGGTCAGTGGGTGCCAGAACCAACAATTGAATCTCCTCAAGGGCTGGTTTCCTGAGACTCACTCTATTTTATCTAAAAACCTAAAAAAATAATTAGGGGAAGGATAAACTGAGGACAATCTATTCTTATCTTTAGGCTTGGGGCAAGACAGTTATCTTTATCTAATATTGATTTTTGGTTTTCAGGTTTCACTGATTTTCAGGTTCTTTCACAATTGAATAACATTTGCTATTTTACTTTATGCTAGTGACTCTTGGTAACAACAGTTTTAGAACACATTTCCTGAAGTAATCTGATTTTATAACATTACTGAAACACAGAGTGGCATATAATTGCTAATTACAAAATTTTTTAGTGACTACTTCAGCATTTTGTCTGCCTAATGGCAGACATAACATAGGACAGAGTAATGAACTAAGGAGAAAATAATAAGTCTTTGGGTAATTTTCTCAATCTCTGGACTAAATTTTCTTGTCTCAGGAGTGGGCTGGAACGATAGCAAAACGAGTAGGGCATTTACCTTGCACACAGCCGATCTGGGTTCAAATCCTCTGTCCCTCTCAGAGGCAAGCTACTGAGAGTTTCCTGCCTGCATGGCAGAGCCTGGCAAGCTCCCCGTGATATATTTGATATGCCAAAAACAGTAACAATAAATCTCACAATGGAGATGTTACTGGTGCCTGCTCAAGCAAATCAATGAACAATGGGAGAACAGTGCTACAGACAGTGCTACAGTGCTTACAGGAGTATTGAAGTTGGTTGTGATAATCCCATCATTAACCCTGGATGAAATGTCTTCATGAACTGAAAACAACTGTATTCTCAGCTTGATTTGATTTTCTATAAAATCATATCATTATCCCTGGCCACCTCGATTACCTCCTGGATAATCTGTTCCTTCCTAGATCTGTAAGAATAAATAATGACTCATGTAAAGCTTTCCATTAAGATAAACTGTTCTTCACACCTACTCTTCAGCCAAGTTGGTGACCCCAGAACAAGCTCTGAAAATAAAAGGAAGTTAACTATGATTGTTCAAGTTTACAGTTTGCTGTTAGGTATGAGGGTGCAACTAGATTGTCTTTATCTTTACAATGTAATAATATACAGAAAATAGAAAACACACACACATGCGATGTTCTGAAAAGTGAAGTAATTAGGGTACAAATATTTGCCCTGCAAATCAAAAATTTCCTTATCTTATATCCAATTAGTATCCACATGTACCCTTTGAAGTTGGTGGGACCCCACAGATAGCTTATTTGAGACATAGTTACTCTCATCTAATCTGCCTCTGCAACCCTGAAACCCAGCTGGGAAGGCCAGGACTGATAAAGTCTGCTATGGGCCCCAACTTGCCATAGGCCCTGACAACCCTACCAGGTGGCCATCAAGCCACACCTGATGTCCACTGGGTCTGGGCATGGGAGTTGATCCCTACCACCAGATATCTTAGGGTACCACAGACTCAGACTGGAACAACAAATTGGTTTTTGCAGGAAAGGAAAGTCAGTCCTAGAAAAAGGGTTGGAAAGCCAACCCTTACCCAGGGTTGCTAGGTTCTTGTCTTGCCTTGCAAAAAAGAATTTCAGGGGTAATCAAGCAGTAAAGTAAAACAGATTTTATTGGAGGTTTTGGAAGGGGAGGAGAGAGAGAAAACGAGAGTAACGTGCTCCAAAGAGAATGCAGGCTCTTCCAAGGGCAGAGAGAGCTTTAAATACACCCCAGCATTAGATATGGAAACAGGAAAGTACACATCTCAAGAGAGGAGATGCGGGTGACACATTTGTTCAGGTGCTACGTGTCCTTGGCCACTGGGGGCACAAGCAGCATATGCCCTTGGGCAGCATATTCGAGCCCTGCCTTTGCTCAAGGTGACTTTTACAGGATTTTTCCAAGCCACCCCCACATGGGGTTTTCTAACTAAAAGTTTGTTGGCTAGGATTGTTGCTAAGTGGGTAGAGTTGGGAGTGGTCTGCTTTGAAACTCCTTTTCTTGACCATTGCTCCTGCTGGATCTTCTCTCAGAGAGTGGGTCCAGTCTTTTCTGGTGTAGGCTAGCTGAGGGTTGATCAGATTAAAGGAAGGAACTGAGGGTTCTCCAGTAATTCCCTTCAGGCCCTTTCTGTAGGAATGGTCCAGTCTCCTCAGGGCCTGCTGCTAGAGAAGTTCTTATCAAGTCTTGCTTTCTGTATTGACAAGGTAGGTCAGACTTAGCACTGGTGGCTTTATTACTTCCCAGAAATTTTATTGCCTTGATGTGGGGGCGGTTCTTCCTTAATTTTTCTACCTACGTCAGAATGAATCATTAATTTTACTATTTATAATTCAAGAATTATGTTCTTAGCAAAGTCTTTCTTTCAAAAATTTCTCATCCAATCAATCAAATCATGCTAATTCTACTTTCTAAATAATTCTTAATGTACTCTAAATAATTCTTAATGTGCTTTAAATTATTCTTAATTCTATCAGCATACCAATTTTGTCCAAATTAGTTCATATCTGGCTCAAATTAAACTAGAAATCTTAAAATTTCCTTTTTCTTTTCTATTTTTAAAGCTACCAATTTAATATCCTTTGGACATTAGAGTAAGCTTATTGATCAATTTAATAATGTCATTGCTTCATTTGAAATCATTATGGACCTGCCATTAAAATTCAGAAATGGAAGCAAATACTCTATATACTACTAGAACATTGTGGTTACTAACATGTCTTCATGTGCATGTATACACACACACACACACACACATGCACGCTCACACACATAAACACAGGCTACAATCATAGTCATTTCCCATCATCCCCAAAAGTAAGGATGACTATCAGTCTCAGCAATATTTTAAGAATCAATCACAGTCAGAAATTAGTGACAGATGAGGGAGTGAGAAGGAATGAAAGAAAAAGATTTTTGATCCAGATCAGGGATCAACAAGCTTTTTCTGTACAGTCATACATTTCATAGGATACATGATCACTGCTGTAAGTCTTAGTGTAGTTCATAAACTGCTAAAGCAGTAAATAAATAAAGTAAATAAAGATAGATAAGGGCTATTAAAGCTTCATAGATTCAAATTTAAATTTTACAATATTTCTGTCATAAGTATGATTCTACCTTTGGTTTGTTTTAATCATTAAAAAATGCAAACAATTTTCTTAGCTCACAGAGTATCTAAAAAGTAGACAATAAGTCAGATTTGATAATTATAATTTGTCAATAAGTTTTTAGATTGTTGATTAGATATTACTGCAACTTTTGAGAGAAAGGAGGAAGAATAAAATAGAGAAGAAAAAAATGAAGACTAGACTTTGCTTATGTTCCAAGAAAGGAAAGGTAAAAGCAATTTAAGGATTGCAGAGAAGAGAATATGTGTGTACAGATTTTACACATTCTGCAAAACTGAATTTACAATTTTCTCTTTGTTCTTTGAGAAAAGGTACAAAATAATTTAGATTGCTCCTTCAGGTTATCAGGAAATTTAGATGACACTAAAATTAAAATATCATTTAGTATTTAGTATACACAGAAAAATACTTATTAAAATCTCTACCTATTGAAGTGTTTAAACAATCCTTCCCCCACCACCCCTCCCTCGTCTTACCTTGAAATTTAGTGAAGTTAATTTCAAAAATAAAATTCTCCACCCTAGATTATCTTATCTACATTTTTCCAGTTGATAACCTTCAAAAGCACATGCTGCCTTTTTTTTTTTTATCTTAAGCTTAAAAAAAGACTTAAAGCCTTGTTAGTTTGCCAATTGGATACTTGGATCATTGTATACTTGGCAATGATTTAGCTAAATGTATCCAAACCATGGGCTGGAGCGATAGCATAGATTGTAGAGCATTTACCTTGCATGCAGCCAACATGGCCGACCAGAGTTCGATTCCATATCGGATCATATTTGATATGCCAAACACAGTAACAAGTCTCTCAATGTTACTGGGCTTGCTCGAGCAAATCGATGAACAACGGGAGGACAGTGATACAGTGAGTGATCCAAACCATTATTTGTAATTCTCTCTTTAGAAACTTCTGCACATGAGGCAAGAGTTTTATAATGCTTTATTTTTTATTTATTTTATTTATCTTTTTTATTTTATAAAGTAGTTCACAATAAGGCTGGAGCGATAGCACAGCGGTAGGGTGTTTGCCTTGCATGCAGCCAGCCCGGTAGAGCTGGGTTCGATTCCTCCACCCCTCTCGGAGAGCCCAGCAAGCTACCGAGAGTATCTCGCCCCCACAGCAAAGCCTGGCAAGCTACACGTGACGTATTCGATATGCCAAACACAGTAACAAGAAGTCTCAAAATGGAGATGTACTGGGCCCGCTCGAGCAAATCAATGAACAATGGGAGGATAGTGCTACAGTGCTACAGTTCACGATCATGATCATGATCATCCTGTTGTCCGTCAATTGCCTCGAGCAGGCACCAGTAACGTCTCCTTTGTCCTAGCCCTGGGATTTTAAAAAGTGCCATATTCAAGGCTCTTTCAGGGTTAGGAGAATGAGACCCATCATTGTTACTGGTATTTGGCATATTGAATACACCACAGGGAGTTTGCCAGACTCTGCCGTGTGGGCAGGTTATATTCGGTAGCCTGCCAGGTTGTCCAAAGTAAGAATGAGATAACAAGATGTCACGCAGCCACAAATGCGGCCATGCACTTCCAGAAGCTGGGTTTTATAGTCTCTGGGTCTTGGCCATTGATGGGAGTACATGGCGCTGGTGGC